GGACTTTTATTAAAAGTAGGCTGATGAACTATTTACACAAAGGCTGATGACCTAAGTCTTTTGCCCAAAAGCAGACAAAAATCAAAGTAAGGATGCACAAAACTATGATTTAAAAGCTAAAAAGTTGTCAAAATATCATTAATATTTCTTCCGTAGTCCTGACTTCGTAATATTGTGTTCTAATTAACGCTTTTTGAGTTAGTTTGAATGAGTATGGTTTTATCTTCTGAAGTTTGCTGATCCGATGTATATAGTCCACGGATGTGTATATTGGAACAGCTAATGCTGCCTTAATTGCCTTGTTCTGAACAACCTGCAGTGTTTCCCATATTTTTTCTTCTCCTGTCAACAGAACATTTGACGCGCGTGTTATGACTGTTCTGATTAGTGACATATATAGATCGATCATGATTTTAGTATTGACTTCTTCTCTAGTTGATCTTGCCAAGAAACGTAACAGTATTATTGTTGACTGAATTTTCGTTTCTATGTGTTGAATGTGGGCTCACCATTTTAGTTTTCGGTCAACGATCACACCGAGATATCTAGCTGATGTTTGAGATTCAGCTACTACATTTTCTACGGTCACATTAACTTTGTTTTATATTTTACGTCAGTCGTCTCGCTTGGAAATACGCACTGGAATCCTCCGTATTTCCAAGCGGGACGACTGACGTTATGTTTTTAAAAACTTTTTGGTCTATTAGAACAAAAATTTGATAATGTACTTGAAAAGTCCAACTTGTTCGTTATTCGACTGCTAATTAATGCTCTAACGTAATTATTCCGCTAATCTTAATGAACAGAAATGCATTTATAATCAACAATGTTCATTCTATGCACAGTACTCGTTAAAAACACGCGTTTTTCTTCCGCTTTTTACATATGTAATTAATTATAATATTTTGAAGACATTCTTTGCTTAAACTAGACTAAAAGCCGGCTGCTAGAGACCGGCGCACGTCGAATTCTGTTTATTCCGTGTAATTTGCACGGATTAATCATAATTATCCCAAATGCCGGTAACTATGATCAGTCGATACCTGCTCGCTGGAAATTGATTAGTACTAATTAACGCTAATGAGTTTTAAGATAACTTTTACATCGATCGATAGGTAAGACTCAGTTTCATCTACCTGTGAAATATCCCTTTTTTTTAGTGAAAAACAGCTGCAGAGCTTTAAGAATACTGAGAAATTTTTTTTATCCTGATCATAATTACCTCGGGCTACTCTGTCTGTTTTAATCAATTAGAAAGTATCTCTTTTGAGAAGCGATGCCCTGACATAAATTCGTTCAAAAAAAATCTTTCTTTACATTTTAAAACATTCGTTCATTGACGACGAGGATAGATGCCGCCAGCTTCTTCTTAACATAAGAAATAAGCAGAAGTAGCAGCTGATTAGAGCGATGAGAAAATGGTAGGAAAACGATGACGTTATATTATATATTTATTTAGACCGAATAATTAGTATAACGCAATACGCGGCATATGAGTACCGGTAGAATGTAACGATCAATTTTTTATTATTCAAATAAAGACAGATCAGAAAAACTATTTCATCTTTATCACCATGTCCATTACTAAATGTTGTTGAGATGGAATTGGTGATCCTTGGCCCATGATTATGTAAATGTAAAAAACTCTAAAATTTCAGGTTTTTTCATGTCCAATTTTGATTTTTTAAATTGATTTGAACAATATTAGAAGTTGAAGTATCAATGTGAGATATAAAACAAGAATCATGCAAAAATATAGACTGCTTGACAGTCCATAAACTTTCAAATTTAAAAGCACCAGTTAAAATAAAAATAAAAACTGTTATTCGTAACGCTAGTATTTCTGCAGTTAAAAAATTTTTATTTTATCTCGCATAGAGCACAAAAACTCCTGAAAGAATTCTTGTAACAGAGTACAGAGCGCAACGATTAGTAGTCAGCGTTTGGAAACAAACGCATTCGAAGGATCGGCAAAAGACTTAGTAGAATTGTCGTTAAAATCATGCCTTAATATGATAAACAGAAATAGCAGTCAAGTCGCATCAATCATCCAACGGTTTTACCTTTTTTGTCTGTGACTGACAAACACCGGCATTTGTATTAAGCGTATGCGATTGTGCTTATGCCAGAAAAGGACCAGCGTACATGTATACATTCACAATGTAACTATGCTGACATTCTCCGACGAAGTCGTTGTAGCTTGTTCCGATTGTTACACCTTTTACATATAAATCCAGTATCGAATTAAATTTTCTTATTATTCACCGGTTTGATGAAATTCAAAAACATCGTATAGAAAAAAAAGAAAAATCAACAGAATGAAGGAAATGTTTGTTCCTACTAATAGTAGACTACTATAACAAGATCTTGGTAGATTACTCCTTGTTTCTCTGAAATATGCGGTTCTGTAGTGAATGACAGTTGTTTGTGCAACTTACTTCTGTAAACAATTCTTAAATATCAGAAACTGAGTATGAGGCCTATATAGTGTTGTAAACGAAAAGATGTAATTATTGAACAAGAATACATTTCACTAGAGCAGAGCTAAAGAAAAAAAGTTCTATGAAAAGAGCTGAATTAAATTGCAGACAGTAGAATTTTTCTATGAATTAACAATGACTGTGTTATTGTTTATGCCTTTACTTTTACTAGCATGTTTTGCAGTAACTACCGTAGTCATTAACAGGGTTCGTACTATCCACTTTCAGAAAACAGGAACAGGAGAGGATTTTTTCCCTTCGAAAAACAGGAAAGTGAATAAATTTTTTCAGAAATACAGGAAATAAGCGCGTGCAGAAAAATGACAAGCGACATTTATTATAATGTGTTAAATAATGTATTGCAAGGCATAAACCGAAAAATCATTTGACCTTATTTAAAAAATGTTGACAGCATTCAATCATAGTCATAGATAATCGTAGATATCAAATTTATCCGTTCAGTATTATATTGTTGTCTTCTTTCATCTTCCTCTTTTTCTATACTTACAACAACTAGAGGTAGATGAGACTAGCCTTTTTTGGTCCTGATTCCGTAGAAAATTATTTGATTCCGATGAAAAATTTGACCATAGAACACGAAAAAATCTTTCGCCGTTGGTGGAATGTTCAATGCGGCTTTTTGCTATTGTACTGCGTTGTAGAGCTTTGTACGACTTTCCAAGAAAAAATTTGATAGAAAAACGAGTTTGAAACTCACATTAGAATTTGATTATACAACAAAAGTTTTACTTTTACGGGACCAGGCCTGATCCCGGTCCCATCCCGCCCATGTCTAACAACAACATCATACTTCATTTTACTTTTTCTTTACTCTTCATTTCTTCTTTCTCTTTCATTCTTTTTACTTCTTTCGTTTAATATTTCGACATGAGTGTGAAGAATTTACAGTCCGTCTTTATGGGGACATTCTGATCCTTAGTGTAAATGTCATGTCTGTTAGTCTTCTCTTCTCTTGGTTGACTGGATAAAGTAAAAACATTTGCCTAACTAGCTGATTGGATTCACGTGAGAGGCAGAGACTTTCTAACAGATTTTATCACAGTAAACAGTAAGACTGCAGAAAAACGTCAAAATACAGAAAAAACAGAAAAATTTTGAAAACCAGGATAAAACAGCATGTTCTCATACAAAAACAGGAAATACAGGAATAGCAGGACAAATACGAAGCCTGAAATAAATAATACTGTGATATAATGAATCAGAAAATAATTTTTCAGGCAGCAATAATTCAACGAAATAGACGTCATTTTATAGTAAACCAAAGGATTCTTTCAAATGATGACAGGCAAATATATCTTTTGGTACCCCTTCGCTAATAGTGTGTTTTCATTTTCTTAAAAGAAAGACAAGTCAAAAAGTCTCAGTTTCGAAAAAAATGAACCGTCTAAGAAACCGCGGTTCCAGTTCCATTATTAGAATCGGCAGCGCGATTACAGAGAACCTACTTAATGATGAATCACATAGTATAACAATTATCATAAGTTATAAACGATTGTTTAATTATGCGCCTCTGACTAAGATGATAAATACACTAGTTAACATAATGAAAAAAACAGCTGTTTCCGATATATCTCCCGAACCTTAGGGCGTACAAATTTTTGTCTGCAGAAAGAGCACATCTACACAATATACCAAACATAAAGTCCGAAGGAACCGTACTGATCAGACGAACCATTGATAGAGAAGTGCACATCACAAACTTGAACTGTGGTGCGCTCTTAAAAGATCAGTTTTACTAAAAGTTTAACCTGTTTGCGGGACAGTATAAAAAGAATTATCGACACGTCTATTCAAATATTATGTAGTCACAAAGAGGGCAGTTAAAGCTAAGAAGCAAAAGAAAATATTATATATATTAAACTAAAAATTTGCTGTATATATATATATATATACCAATAAATAGAAAACAGAATGCATACATCAGAATGCATCGAGTGAATATAGACATTGGTTGAATTTTTATGCAACGAAAAGAGAGAAAAAAAAGAAAAAAATATTATCCTCGGCGGCCATTTTTGGCAGCTGTTTATTGATAGATAACTTCTAACAACGTTCGGTAGGAATTAGATTGGCACGTAACACATTCCAACAACTGTTGTAATATTCAGGTATTACTTGTTCAGAGGAAAAACTTCTTATCATTTTTCGCGATACCACAATTTTTCTGTGATGACTTTTTAAATTTCTTTCTATTATTTTCTCCGGATTACAATACATTGTTTTGCTTATCAGCTAACTATTTAGTACAAAAGACTAATTTCTTTTTTCACAAAATAACTTTCATTCTGTTGACTCTTTTCTATGGTTTAATGTTCAACAGTAGGAATAGTAAGATTGACTATCATTTTCAATCAGATTAATAAACAATTTATTCTGAATATATTTGTCACGAAAATTTTTTCTTTATTTGTTTCAGATCTTTAATTTTAACAAGAAAAAACATTTATTTAATTTAAAGCTAAGTGTTAGTTTCTTGCTCAATTTTTGCTCTTTTGTTATATGGGAAATTGTTCTAACACTTGGCCACTCAGTACTTGTGTATCATCTAGAACTAGTCAACAAACGAATTCAGATACTGAAACAAACAAAGATAAACAACAAAAAATATTAAAAGCAATGAGTCGAGATATTATACCTGCATCTGGCAAACATACAGCAAGTGTAAGGATTCAGTGTAAAAACTTTCACTGTTAAAATATTTTTTATTTATTTAATGATTCTATTTTAGTTGATATTTTTACATGGATTGGGTGATGTAGGTACATCGTGGCTTCAATCATTTAAAATGTATCGTATTCCAGAAAAAACACAACATATTAAATATATTTTTCCAACGGCGTAAGTTCACTACGTTGTTTCATATGATAAATAGGTTTAAGATCTATATTATTTTTGTTTAGAGCAGTGAGAAAAGTGACCTTAAATTTTGGCATGGAAATGACATCATGGTTTGATGTCAGAGGTTTAAACAAAGATGCGGTTGAAGATACAGAGGGAATAGAAGCATCAACAAAATTATGTATGTTAAAGAGAATCATTGCTACATTATTATAATTTTTCTTATTTGATCAAACAAACTTGTTTCATTTCGTTTAATTCATCTGTTTTATTTTAGTGCTTGAATTGGTGAATAAAGAAATTGAGAGTGGTATTCCACCAGAACGAATCATTGTGGGCGGATTTTCTATGTAAGTTCGTGGCACTTTTTGAATTAGCAACTATTGAAATTAAGGAAATTCCTTTTTAGGGGTGGTGCCGTAGCATTACATGCAGGTAAAACACAGATCTTATCCCTCTTTTTTTGAAATTATTGTATTGAATTTAAATTCTATAGCTCTGACTGCTCCATGGACGTTAGGTGGTTGTATTGCATTGAGTACTTGGCTTCCGTTATCAAAGACGTTCCCAGATGTAAGTTTAATTGTCAAGCATAATCTAACAGTAAGTACAAATTTTAGCTTTTAGGCCCTTAAAGCTATTGATCAAAAAGGGAATTTGCCCATAATACAATGTCATGGTAGACAAGATTCACTTGTGCAAATAGCATGGGCTAGATTAACCTCCCAAGCATTAGAAAGTTTTGGTTTTAAAAATTATCAATTTCATGAATATAACATGGAACATAGTAGTTGTGATAAAGAAATAAGTGATGTATCGGAATTTATTCAACGCGTACTACCGAACAACAAATGACTTCTATCAAACTTATAATAAATCATATAAACATTCCTATTAGACTATTTTTCAGTAGAGACAATGTGCTTGTGCATGCAACGGGACAAACACAATAAGTCGAACAATCATGTTTCTGTGGGGCTTTTATGTTGTTCAACCAGTGTATTTTTTTCTATTTTTTTTCGACTTATTTACGGACATCTTCAAACTTTAGAACTAATCAACAAGTCGTTGACATAGAATCTTATTCTTTTCATTTGATATTGTTCCCTGTTGTTTCTCTTTTTCTGTATGATATGATGTCACTGTAAAAACAGATGTTTATTGGCTAATATAAAATTGTCTTATGAATACGATGTTCAATTTATCAAGTCATCTATTAGCTTTAAAAGTGGTAAATTCAATGCTATCAAGCGTTCTTTTCCCACTTTTCATTCTATCCGTCACTAAACAGATTACCAGATGATGCAAAGTTGCTTGTTCTGCTTTGCATAGTCTTGTTATAAGCTTTATTTGCTAACTATGATGTGGTGTGCGTAATCTAAGCAACGGTCGATTCAAACTATGTGCTGCAGCATTACATCTCTTAAGCAAAAACATCATTTTTGTCTAGCAGAACTGTTTCTATAGCGACCGTACGTATCCATACCTTTTAAACCTACTGCACGTACATAAAATTATATCTGGATTTGTCACTGAGTCTTGATCACTTGCTGTACTAAGGGGACGGAATCGACGCAGTATTATCTAGTGAGTGATGTATAGTGAATATTGATTATCAAATAAGGTCATATGAATTTTTTTTAAAAAATTGGTTCCTAAAAATGCCATGAAGCTTTTATTAAAAAAGATTAGAAAAATAGTACATAATATAAAAGACAGATTTCTAAATTTTTTTATTATATCTCGGAATAATATTCGCAAATGAGAAAGGGCGTTTGATACACGTCCACCTAAGTTAAGACAATTTGTTTTTTCCATTCTTTGCAAAATATCGTATCTCATATGTTCTACTTTCTCGTAGGCATCTGTGAAAAGTTGTCGATATTCGTTGTACCTAAATCATAAGCACTAGCAAAATCTTGTAATCATCGTTATGAGCTAAAATTATTGGTTTGTGTATTGAAACATTCGTTGATCTTTTATTTAACGGTCGTTGTTGAACTTGTTCGACTCTATCATTTCTCACGCTCTCATCACCATCCTTTACATCTCGAATTTTAGTTGCTGACGTTTTGAGTGTTTGCCAAATGTTAACAGGTGCTCGTATGTCATGTTCATATTGAGTCGTACCATTGTACCCACAAACAACTTTAATATCATTATGCCAAAATCTAGAAATTTCATGATCTCTCATAATTGGTGCCACCTGATGTAGAAGCACAACAGTATTAACAGGAGAGATGTAGAGAAGAAAATAAATTGTACCTTTTTAATTCGGAAAATAGCCATTGTTATCAACATGATGCAAAGAATGTTGATCAATATCAGCGCAAAACGTGAAATTCCTAATAGACTTGCTTCTTTAGACATATTACATGAGTATAGTGGTATATATTTATTATTAGCAAATTTAGTTCAATTTTTGGCTAGAAGGGCATTATGTGCCGATAAATCTTCTAGTGTTGATGAATGTTGACCAATAGATGAAAAACAGAGCGTTAGCGCATAACTAAATAAGAAATTGGTATTTATCGTCGATAGCAATAGGGAAGCAGAAATTGCAATACCAACGAGACTGGCAACAGCTCCTCCAAGAACAGATAAAGCTGTACCAGCTTCAGACAGCAATGCCACTAAAGAACCGAAGAAATCTTCTAAATCAGCAATTTTCTTTTGAAATAATACTTAATGCACCAGACCACAATCACCGTATATCTCTCGAACGCATTTTACACGTACCTAAATATTGACAAAAAGTTTACTTTCATAGACATAGCATAGAAGATTTGGATAGATATCTGCCAGATGAACGTCATCGTGATTCAGCAAATGTTGTACATAATCTAGTTAAAACATAGACAAATAATCCAATGAGTTCTGTTCGTAGATCAACGCACGATAGTGAGCGATCATGGACAACTAGTCCGAATACAATACCGAGTATCGGTCCCTACAATATAAAAATGATCGTCTAATGAAAATCAAATTTAGATGGTAATACGGATACACTGAATTACAGTTTTTTCTCTTCAAAATGAACTAAATCATTTCTGAGTTTGTGGGCTTCATTGGAATAGAAAGCATGTGTGGACTTAAACTTAACATTTTAAAATATGTTTCGCTGAATACACACCATTAATGGTGAACCTAATATACTTGCAGCTAAACTAACGCTGTTATTTTCTGATAATCCAAGAAGAGCAATAAAACTGGTTAACATGGTAAATAATAAAAAATCTGTAAAGAAAAAAAATGTAAGAGTTGATTATTAACGAATAGCATTGACAACTTGATGAACGGTTAATTGAGCTCGAATATTTTTTCTAAAATCTGTTTTGTACTTTTGTAACTTTGACTCTAATGATGATTTCAGACTTGTTTTTGTTTAATCTATTTTTATCGCCTCACTATTTTGTTCAATTTGTTCTTTCGTAGTAATAGTATCTTTAACGACTTTACTGCTATCATCGGATTCCATAAGGCTAACGTTTTCATTAGTACTTTGTATGCCCGATATATTTGATAATGGTAAGATAGACACTCTTGACCCGTTTCTAATACCGATTTCTGCTCTACGCAATTCTTCCAGTATAATGCCGAATTGTTGACCAAGTTCAACGAAACATGTAATGAAAAACTGTTGCTTATCATCATTCAGTATCCAAATTGTATCTTTCAAATTTAATTTTGGTATAATGTGATTTTTAAATCGACTCACTAAAGATAAGGAACAAGCATTGCATTGAAATTCTTTTGAATGCTGATGTTATGGGACATGGTTCAAAAGACGAATAAGATGTTTCATGCATGTTATCAACAACATTCTGATCGGCATCCTGCGTCGTTGTTTGTGCTATTAATATAGAAATTATTGAATTTTCTTCTTTTGTTGTTGGATTTGACCGTCCCACTACTAAACATATGGTAAAATAAATAAAGCAAAGAACTGTCAAGAAAACAATTGATTGTCTGAGATATATTCTGAGATTCTGTATGATTGTCGTAAAAGTCGTTTGATATAATTATGAGAAAAATACCTTGACTCGCTGTCATGTTCTATATTCGATCAACTATTGTTTTATTAGTTCCTCATTTGCAGCTTACAGCTCATTTCGCTGTCAGACAGTAAAAGTCAACAGCCGACTATTTTTCGTTTCGATCCATTGTAGAAACAAAAATAAAAACTAGTATCAGATGTAGAAATACAATCAAATGTACACGTTTATGTTATAATAATAACTCGATTACAATTGTACTACAGACTCGGTATGCAGTTGTGATGTGGAGACTAGGAATCAGGGTAAAAAAACTTCCTAATATTCTAATAATAAAACGTCTTTGGTGTCTCTCATTCGACGAGTTTTGTATTTGAACACTAATGAAACCATGGCTCATATGTGAAAAACGGCTTTGATAACTAACTATATTTTTTTACACGCATTAACTGTCCTATAAGAACTAACGCATCAGTGCATCATAATATTAATAAGAAAAGAAGTCAAATAGTTGAAAATGAATAGAATTCAATCAGTAAATCTGAAGAAAAATAAGCTGGAAAAATGATCTATCACTTTTGTGCGATATAGAAACAACATGAAAAAAGACGCAACTATAAATGCTAGAATGCAGTGCTTTTCTAGTACGGGTAAAATTATTGGGAGTGATTCCCGGTACTTGTTATTCTCTTACGTAATATGACTCCAGCATTCTCAGTACTTTATATGCTCTCAAGATCAAGTAAAAACATTAAAAATAACCTTTTTCGTATCTTTTATCATTTACTGCAGTACAATATCTGCTATATTTTTTGTAAGTTTATCTAGATACGGTTCAGAACGATATTCAATCATTGATCCATATTGAAAGCTCGTATAATGACATATACAAAACACAGTGTTCCATAGTCATCAGATTTGATAGATCATTACAGCTACATTCACAAGAAATCAATTAGGTGGCTCAATTCCACTAGTTGTAATAGATGACCTCATTATCTGATGCCTCCACGATCTATGCGGGAGATAGAATGAGATACGTAAAGAAGTATAGTCACTTGCATAGGATAAGACGTTCTGCTTGAAGTGGCATCGTTTTATGAGGATATTATTTATGCAAGCATCAGGAGCAAAGCAACTTATCTGATTTTACGAGACTGATTCTGCCTTACTGGCTTTACCGAAGCGGAAACATGCATAGCTCATGTTCCGCTCAATACAGACCATTGAGTTCAGCTCGATGGACAATTGGTGATGATTGATTCCGGATCGACTACCCGTTTCGTAAAATGCTGACCTAGAAATCTGACATTTCGCACCGATCTTTTACTTGAATACATTTTGTACTCGATTGTCGATTGAGGATCAAGCACTACAATACAAATATTAGATCAAAGTCCAACGTGTCAGACTCGTTCCGAATTATATCGCAGCCTTTAGTGTCGAATCCATCCGGCTGGTCACATAGCAAATGGAACTCGTCACCATTTCCATCACAACATTTCTAACACTAACACTACACTCTTGAGTTGGTTCATTTTCTATAGTTTTTGTTCAAGTTTAAGTTACCAGACCATCGGAAATTGTCTAATTAACCGCCTATGAAATGTCCATGAATGATTCATGAAATTTTTATTAAGTGGCATCTGTTTACCTATTTGAGACTGTTTCCGACATTTTAAATAAAAACATTTTAATGGAGTGCTTAAATGCTTAAGAGTGAACAATAATGTATCCATACCGTAGTCAGTTTCGAGAGAAAATTACAGAAAAAACGTGATAATACAAAGAAAAATACGAAAGATAAAGAGCCCCAGAGGGGACATTGAATCCAGCAAACTTCAAGCTTTCCCATCGTAAAATATCTTATGAGAGGATGTTTCATCAAGATGCCTCCTTCTAATTACAATAACCTGCACAGATTCGTCATAATATTCACGCGCATCCTTAACAAAGAAAACTTGCATTTAACGGTGGCATAAAATCGATTTCAGAACCCAATATACAGTTTTATAGAGAATTAGTTTGTCTAACGCACATATCACTTTATGTTTTATTTTCAAATGAAATTTATCCAAACAAACCATCCTAGTAACTAAACTCTTGATGCTGCGGCTGTTTTATTGTCGTTATTTTTGTTATGCCTCCACTAATTTATTAAACACATGTACATCACTAATATGAACTTGAATTAAACCCGTTTCACCTAGTTTTAATGATCTGCTTACAGGAAAAAACAAGTATAACTACGGTTAAAGTGGAACTCAGCTAACAATCCAGATAAAATATGTCTTACAAAATCTTATAAGATCTGATGACTTCTTATGCAAACTTGCTACAAGATCTTTTGGTAAGACTTTGTAAGATTTTATCTCAAGATCATGTATGATCTTGCAGAAGATCTTCTTGTCGTAAGGTCTTACAAGATCGGCTTATAAGAAATGTTAAAATCTCATCAGATGTTGTAACAAGAAATCATATGATCTTGCAAGATCTTGTCAATTTGCGATTTCTTGTTATGATTACAATATCTTATAAGATCTTACTAGAAGTGATGATTCATTCTTAGCACATAAATTTTGCTACGATATATATAGTACATATATATTTTTTTCTTTCTTCAAGTTCACACATCAGCTGAGCGCATATAAAGTGCATAAGACACGTTCGTTCCTAAGGTCGTCAGAGTCCTTCATATGCGCGAAAATATTATGAAAAGAAAATTTTTTTTTTTAAAGAGGGTCTAAAGGGAATCAGTAGCACAGAACTAGAGACATCATCTTGTAACATCTGATGAATTCTTATATGATCTTATGGAATCTTTCAAGATCTTGTCACTCCTTGCTCGATCGCACAAGACCTTATCACAAGCAGAGTGCCCAAATATCCTGATTTTCAATTGTTTTCCTGCATCGATTTTAGTAACATTTGGGACCAATAAAAAAGCTGAGAAGAAAAAGAAAACTGTTATGCAATACAGTCAGTCATATTGCACAAAAACCACGGACAGTGTAGCAAACAGTTTGCTCTCCATATTCGCTTGGTCTTTTTAGTTCTTATCGGTTTCTTAAGAAATATTTGTGTCTGTTTTGTTTATACTGTTAAATGAACAGCTCAAAATAAACTAGATGTGGTTATATTTCTTTCTTTTTCTTTATTTCGCCTGTGAGACAGACCTTGTCATTACTTGCTTGGTAGAAAAAAGTCACAAGCGTTTGTGGAAATGAAACTTTTCCTTGCTCAAGAAGAAACTGGGTCATACGCTCCTGTTTTTCTCCTGATTTTTTAGAAAAAATCTTCTCACAACTTCTGATTTCGAAAAATTGGATTTGGGCACTCTGATCATAAGATCTTCAAGATCTTACGGAATCTTGTTGTAAGAAAAATCTTGTGAAATCTGATAAGACCTTGTAAGATTTCATATGATCGTGTAAGATCTTGTGAAATCTTATGGCATCTTGTAATATGATTTTACAAGATCATATTGCAAGATTCTTCACCTTGGGAATAAGAACCTAGAAATATATGAAAGGGATTGAATTGTTGTATGTCTTATCCACTCATCGCTTTTTAGCTAATGATAGTAACGATATACGCATAAGACGTAAAACATTTCATTCATAACAATAAAAAATTCACAAAACCTCAACGGAATTAAACGAAACGAAAGTAATTGAGAGCAGAAACGTGTATAAGACTGATAACAAACAGCTGTCTTTTGTATATTTCTTTGAACCTTCTTTTATTTTAAATATAAAACATGAAATGTTTTGTGAGATGATACAGACATGCACAAGTAGAGCTATAGCTTGATCGAGGTTTGTAGGTTATAATCGATGTGTTTTTATTATACTACTAACGTTAATACGTATTTCGTGATTTCGTGATATCTATAGGCAGGAAAAATCTGTATACACCCACCAGTTGTTGTATTTTACCGTTAAAAACAAAAATGATCTCTATACGAACGTCTTGTCCGTAGCTACATCGAAGTAAATAAAGACATGCACGTGCCATGTGTTGAAAATAAAAGATAGCCTCGTCCTTTTTGCTTTTTCCTTCCTCATCTCACAACAGAGTAAAATAGGAGTATATTTGCGTAAATTAAAACACTAAATTAAACGTAAGTCTTGAAAGTTCCAGCGTAAAATCTCGCGATATTTACTCCGAGCTTTCAGTTCTCATTTTAGTTTGCTTTTAAATCGTGAGCCAAGATTAGAGTCTTTGAATTATGATCCGCCGCTAGAACTACGAAATTTAGAGATTCAAAAACGCTATTTCCGCCTTATTCCTTTCTATCATGTTATGTATAAATTACCGCTCTTCTCATCTATAGTGTATATATTTTTCCTTAGTTTTCGTACAACTGTTCTTTAAGATCACTTACGGGTTGTTCATATCTTTTTGCTGTTTAATCATCATGTTTGTATCGGTAAGAATGATACGCTGTAGAACCGACACTACTGTTCTCTAATCTGAGATTGCATCTCAAAGTATAACTAAGGCTGTTGTTCCTTTTTTTGATAATTTTCTTTTTTTTTCTGAAGATGTTGACAGACTTTTAACCGTGCTTAAGAGATTTGGTTAAGCCTATCTCCGTTTTTATTCTTTCAAACAACTAAACGTAAACTGAACTCTTCGGATAATAGTAAAACATGAAGACATCAACAGACACCTACAGACAGCACACAGCACAACTATACTTCTACTGACATGGGAGTGACACGGAAGTGGATGTCTGTTGGTGTCTTCATATTTTACTATTATTTCTCTAAAGACTTATATTAGAACACAATGTACTCTGATCTTATAGCTGAAGAACTTTTTTATTTTACTTTTAAAAACAGACTAATTTTTCATTGCGGTCAAAATTCATATTGCATTGATTGCATCATGTTATTCGAAAATTTTAGTTGCAAATTTCTCTATCATTTTTATTTGAACTGTTCAGATCGTTACTTGTGGACACACAAGTTTGTTAAACTTTTGCATTCATCATGAGGTAAGTAACGAAAAAAGTTGTTTAATTAAAAACTTGTATTATTAATCATCTAGCTTGACTGTATTCTAAATCTAGGAGACATTGTACAACGTGTGAAGAAGCAAAACAATGTGAAAAATTAAGAATCAAAGAATTTTATGAACTGTCACCCTTACATCGAACAGAAGAAATAGTAGAAATGGAAAATAATGAAAATGAGAATATATTGGCTATGAATCAATTTAATTTTTTGGATATGAAACCTCTAAAAACTGTTCAGTTGGAAACAAAACATTATGTAATTAGTGCCTCAAATGAATGTGTTATCATCTTTGAACAAAATGATGCAATAAATGGAAAATTTGTATTCTATGATAATAATGGCAATAAAATAAACGAATTACGATGGAATATGAGTGAAAATGGTTATGTTCGCGATGTTTGTTGGTGTTCATCAAAAAATATTTTTCTTATTCTTACCCATAATTCATTATTTACATTATCATCATCGACGCTTGAATGGAATCGAGTTAAAAATATAAATAAAGAACAACAACAACAAGATTTAAAATCATTAACAATTCATGGTAATAATATATTTATAATGCATCGATTTGGTGAACATATAGAAAAATTATCATTATCATCCTATGAAATAATTCAATATTGGACAAACAAAAGTTTATTTCGACAAACAACAGTAGATGCAACAAATTGTTATGATTATGCTGGATGGATACGATCAAATGATGTTTATATTGCAATGACTATCTATGATAAAAATGAACAATGGCATTTATTTTTATTTGATGAATATCTAATTCCAACACGTCGTGGTTTTGTTTTAAATGATTTATCATCTAGAGGAAATTGTTTAATCACACATTTATGGGATAATCAATGGTTATTAATGAACAATAGTAAAACATTAAGATTAATTGATTCAACAATTGGAAAAATGAAAAAAAATCAAAGAAATTCATACAATGGATTATCAATAAATGCATGTGTTTTGAATAAAGAATATATTGTTTTAAGATCATTTGAACCAAACAAAATTGAATTTTATCGTCTTTGATAATGACAATAGTAGCCAGAGTCAATTTCTTTGGTTTGATGTATTAAAAATGTTCTCTCTTTGTATATGAACTTATTTCTTTTATTTGTCAATAACGATGAGATTTTGTTTAGTTTTTATAAAAGACTAAATTTTGTTATTTGGCTGATAAATATTTTTTTTTGAAAAGTACTATCTCTAACAAAAAAACAACAGAAAAGTGTATTTATCTAAATTAGAAAACCATGCTTTTTCATACAAAACTAAAGAAAGGACGTTGTCTTTAAATCATTTTTAGATGAGTTGGATAAAAATAAGCATGTTTATAACAATTGTTACGATTATTATATGGTATAATTTACGTTCAATGTACAACAAAAATGACATATTCAGAATTGAAAATACTTCTCAAACACAGGAAATAGCTGAACTCATAAAAAAAGATTATGTTGAAATTCAAAATGAAATATATGAAATTTCAAAATTTAATGAACAAAGTTCAAGAATAAATGATATTTTACTTAAAACATTCATTAAAAAACTATCAAAAGAAAAGATTTCTTTACAACAACAGCTACAATATACTTCTTATTCATATGAAAAATTAAACAATTATCTATCATGGTTAAATTCAACATCAATAATATCAAATATCCTTTTATATATTGTTCTATTGTATTTATATCAACAATTTTTGGGTAATACAATAACAGAAAATATTTTTCAACTCATACACATTGTTAACTTTTCCTCAATTCTCATACTAATTTTATGGCAGTTTTATTTTGCGAATAATTTACATTTACATCATGTGTTCGTACAAGGATTATTGTGTATTATTATTATAAGCATAACACGAAAAACTTAATACTCTAACATTTATTTAATTTTTTTTTTGTAATTTTTTTTATGAGAAAATTGTTTGATCAAAAACACTCCTCAACAGTATTTGACAAACTTGATTGAAGAACTCAATAATTTATGTCCGAGTGTAAGAAAAAAAGACATTTGTTTTCACCCAGAAAAAATTGATGTGATTATTATTATTTTTTCGAATTGCAGAGGCTAAAGTTATTTTAGAAAGTGACTTCAAAAATTTTTGGCAGAAAGTAGTCCAAAATTGCAAAGGTGATGTCCATAAAAATATTTTTCTAGAATTTTCTGTCTGAAATCAAAAACTTTTCTGTTAGAAAATGTCTAAAAAAATATGGCATAACAAAATGCTAAAATTTCTGGAAAGAAGAGAGAAAATAAGCTTCCTAATCGTGAAGTTCGATCACTGTTAAATTTTAGAAATAATTTTTATGTTTAAAAAATGGATCCAGACAGTAAATTTAGTATAGGCCTTCGAATTTTGGATGCAAACATCTGATCTTTTTTAGAATATTAAGCAATTTAATCATTTTGTCCTATTTTTTAATAATTTTAGATTTGAAACATTCGCACATGGTCTTGTTATGAGTGCTTCATTTTGACTTTTATTAATGTACATATTACGTTATGAAACTCTCAGAAGTACGATACGATCAAGGTGTACTGAGTCCATAACATACCGACTTTTCTAATCTTTCTATTATTACTTATAAATGTATAATATATTTTCTACTGCGTAATTGTTGGTACTTGAATGTTGTTTCGATTTTATCTTTGCTTTACTTAATAAATCATTAAACTAAAAAACAACTGCTATTATTTCTATACAAGTCTTCGAGATTTACCCAGGTAAATCAATCGATTTGACAAGAAGGTGATGACTGAAGTCACTTTAGATTAGAACTGCTAGATGGTCCACTTTTCGAGTTTTTGTTTCTGTCCTTTTTTCCTGCAATGAAGATTTTCTCATAAAAAATTTGCCGCCTTTGGCTGCTGAATAACCTGTAAAACAATGCTTTTGCAACTTTTATAAAACAGATGCGCACTGTTTCAAGAACTAAATCAGAAATTTGCTCCGGGAGTGAGCGCTAACAGAAAAACATTAGCTTGTCTCAAGTGCTGCTGAAAGGGAGAGTGAAAAATAGTGAAACACTAAATCTTCAAGGAAGCCAACCCGGTCAGAAAATCTTAACCATTAAGTGCTGTCGTAGGCGAGAAAGTTTCGAATTAAATTTTATCCTGCCATACATAACTCTTCAAATTTATGACGGCTGATCAAAACCGCGCATGCACAAAAAAACAGTATCGATTCAAATTGTGCTTGTAATGATGTTTTGTTTCTTAAGTGGAATCACCATAAAGCGCTAGAAATTTTTTTCATACCCTTTCCATTTGGTGAAAAATGCGTTTCCGCTTTTCTGACCTAAGCATCTGGCAACTCTTCTTTAGATGTTTTTCAAGATTACATTTCTCTATTTTCACCAAAACTTCTTACGTTTGACAGAATTTTTTCACGCTAGAAATAGTAAACAAATTTTAGCTACAATGGGTGATCATCCTTTTTTCAGAACAATGAAAAGAGATGAATAGAACATCGCTTAGGGATTCGTAATGGATTTTATGCGAGTATTTTTTTCTAATATTTATCGAGTATTGTTCATGTGAACCACGTCGTCAATAATGTCCAACAAAGAATAAATCACATTTAACAACAACAAGATGAAGTTAGTCAGAAATCTGATCGATTTAAAAAAAGAACGTTATAGTTTCTTTGCAGTCTTCATATGTTCTAGCTTCAGGAATAAATCTGACTACCAACATTACAATAATAACAAATGAATTGAAAACTAATCTAACACTATTTATAAAACTAAAGGACAAGTGCAGTCGATGACGTTTTCCATCTGAAGAATTGAAACAAATATGAGGTCATATCACCAGCGATGCGTTTGATATTTGGTTAATATATTTATTTGGAACTACAACTAGTTACGATTTAATTCAATTACTTGGAAAAAAATTTTTTTTTTCCTGTTTTTGAATGACTGACTAAACATATGTTAATTTGACAAGAGACATCAAAAGAAAATTATTTTCATGTAGTCATTATTCTTATCTCAGCTCCATTCTTTTTCTTTCCATCATTGTTTATTTACATCTAAAAATATGGATCTAATAGGGTAATAATGAAGTGTTCCAACATTAACAAGAACAATTTAATACTTGTATACGCGTCATTTGTTCGAAACAAGTGTGTTTTTGCGTTCAGGATGGCAAGAAAAGCATAAAAAACTGAAAGTAGCATATAATGTCAAATTGTGAAAGTTTATTTCTCTCAGTTCGACGGCATAGCTTAAATTAAACTCGTTTTGTTTTTATCAGATTTCTGTTTGTTATACTGAGGGTTGTTCTAAATGATGAACTATAAATAAAAGATTAGATAGTAGTTAAAGAGGATGATTTTATCTCGATTAGGATTCGCCGATTCTGCAGAGCAATAGAGTACTAAATCGATTGTTATTGGTAAAATCATAAAGCATCACGATAAAAGTATGTCAACAACCTTCAAAATTCAAGGCGACACACTTCTCAGCTGTTATTTTTTAATAAATAAAAAAACAAGGTAACGCTCGTTTTCACTCGCTCGATCCCTTGACTTTATTAAGTTGGATCTGCGCAAGCGAACGTCTTTGGTGACTTTTAAATTGAACACAATACTCACGCTTCCTTTCGCTAGGTGCTCGCTAGGGGCCTAACTAAGGCATCTTCTGGACTTTTTTTCTTTTTTTATGTTTAAGGTTCGTAATCTGATTGAAGAAGGAAGAAGATTCTCCCGAAACGTTTTTGAAATAATTTCTGTTAATAAAATTTAAAAGGAAGAGTTTACAAGCAAAAACTAACCACTTTTTTTGTATTGTCACAGTTGACTACTATCTGGCGACATCTACTCCCGGCCTACAGAAAACATTTGCTTAGCTGTTTACCTCTCTGCATCAGTAAATATTTCAGATGATTTCTTTGAATATTTTCTCTCTATGTAAAAACTAATTTCTACTGTCTCTTGTGATTCGCTTTCCATAGAATATCTGGCAGCCATTTTTCCGTATTTTGCCAACACCCAGACACAACCATTTTGTAAGACTCTAGACTAAAGTCAAGGAAACAAGTCAAGCTTTCTTGGTGTCTGCAAAAACAAGGTAACGCTCTTCTGCACTCGCTCAGTCCCTTGACTTTAGGAACTTATATCTGCGAACGACCCTCCATCACTTTTGAATCCACGGCAACGCTCACCCCTCCCTTCGGTCGGCGTTCGCTATGGGACTATCTGAAATATGTTATAAATTTTTCATTGATTTGTTGTATACGGTTCGTAATCTAACGTAAATATATAAGGTTTGCTCGAGACCCTGCAAAGATCTCTAGAGGTCTAAAAATATTTCTGAATTCAAAACAATGCTCTCGTCTCCCTTCGGTCGGCGTTCGCAGCCAGCCAGGATGGCTAACAAACGCTGTGAACTTCGCTGATTCCACGGAAAAATCGTCTTATGTAATATAAAGCTAAAAGGTTTTCGGGACACCGTCTGCAGATTCCCAGGAGGTTGGAAGTATATCTAACCGATTCGCTATGATAGATTATCTGTACACTGTAAGTTTTATTATCCGTACACTACTTTTTTCGGTATTATCACAGTTGACTGCTATCACGCGACATCTATCTCCAGCTTACAGAAAACGTTTGCTTAGCTTTTTTCCTCTGCACCAGTAGATATTTCATATCATCTGGTTGAATATGGTTGTTCGTTTTTTTACTGAGAAACTGATTTTACTGAACTTTTCTGATTGGGCGATAGAAAAATTTACGCTCTGGTGGCTCAGAAATTCAGTTCAGTTCAGTTTCTCAGTAAAAAAAGGGACAACCTTGAATATTTTCTCGCGCGTAGTAACAAGATATGTTTTATGCGTCTCGCTTATGATTGGCTTAGTCATAGAATATCTGACAGCCATTTTTTCGTATTTTGCGCACACACAACTATTTTGTAAGACCCTAGACTAAACTCAAGGGAATAAACTGCGCCTACCGTATTCATAAAAATTCTAGGACAATTCAAGTTTCACGTGTGAAAAGCAGATCAAGCTGTAGAAAGCTTAAGAGTTTTGTGTATTAAACACACACTGGTGTTCAGAGTCGCTCAGACTTTTCTTGTAACTGTATTCGAGTGTCTTTCTCATCTGAAACGGTCTATTACGTTGCTTATAAGCAGGAAGTCTCATATGTTCTTGAATTGACAAATCATAAATCTTTAGATATAGCGATCGGTTGAAGTTTCAAGGTAGACTTCTTTAAACCCAAGTCTCATGTTTTGAAAAGCTAGATGAAAATTAGAAATGAACTTTGATTTTTGTAATCAAGTTCTACTTATATTTTCAATAGAGATCTGTATTATATGGACTTATCCATGGACAAACTTCGATTTCAGTGAGTTGTCCATGGACATGGGCGCATATGGACAGGTATAAAAACGTTTTAAAAAATTTCTCCGAGTACTTTACAATCGCAGTATCATCTATTGCAGATTTGAGATATAAAAAATTTTATTATCTTAGTCATGAAGTAAAAGAGAAGTAGTTTCGTCTACGTATACCATATTACCTTTTCTTTTCTTCAGTCACATTCACACATGTAAAACAGATTATTCTACTTACGGAAAGAAACTACTTCACGTTTTTCTAGAATAATTTCGAAAAAATGTTTGTTCATGAGCAAAGTATAAACATCGACAAAATTTTTCTTTTGTCCATAAACGAGGTGGACGGTTTGTCCATGGACAAAAAGAATTTGTCCGTCCAGATCTCTAATTTTCATGTATACGAGATGAGGTCATTCAGTAAGATCAAGAAGTAAATACTACTGGACAATTACTTAGTTCAATTTCAATCGATATATTAAGATATTCTAGTATTCGATTCGTGTTTATTTGAAACCGACCTGGAACAAACCAGATTTTCCCCAGCATATCACTGAAAAGAATAAAGTTAGTTTTGCGTTGCTGAAAAGTGTTTTTTCGTATTCAGCACACTCGATAACCCAGAAGATTTTCTATTTTTGGCGAGGAGTACCTACAAAAGTTTAGGAACAATTTTTCAACTAATATTATTTTCCCATGGAAATTATTTTGTTTCAAAATTCTTCCTAAACTTTTGTAAGTACTCCTTGCCAAAAATAGAAAGTCTTCGTGGTTACTGAGTGTGCTGAATAAGAAAAAAACACTCAAAATCAACTTTAATTATTTAAAAACAATATCATTGCTCGTTTCTGTGTAATTCTATTTCAAGCCAAACTAAACTCGATAGCACTTGTAGCTGGGAGAGGTGAGTTCGATTCGATTTGAAATCGAGCCGATTCAATTTTTGAATAGCTCAAACCGTACCGATTTCGGTTTCGAACCGAACCGATCCGACTTCTGCTGGATCCTGATCTCATGTTTCACTTATTTACTTTTTGTTTTAGATATTGATTTCTTACTCACAACTGTAATCAAGGATGAATTCAATTCGTATTATATTATCAGCTGCTTTGGTGAGTATTGACTTCTTTCCTGTTACTGGAGTACTGCAAGAACTCGCTATGCTAACCATCGAAAGAATACGTCAAGATCGATGTTTGTTAGCAACATCTTAATAAAACTCAGAAAGCACATCTCCATGTCTGATTTTGCTTTTCTAGGGAAGACCATCCACTTATGTTTTTCAACGACAAAGTGTTCGATACATGGGCAGCGATCCATCAACTGGTCACAAATCGAAAAGTCAAAGTAAGTATTTCTACTAGTGAAACATATCCTAAATGCTCAATAGTCCGATGCAAAAGTTAAGATAAATAAAGTTTAAAACAAATTCAGTATTAGATGAGACAAATAGTTGATATTACTGTTGTTATGACATTTAGATGCAAAATCAACGTCTGGTAATAAAGATGCAAGTGGCGATAGTAGCAGCAAATTAGATAAAACTGGGTCAAAAATAGAGAAACAAGAACAAAAAAGTGCGACAAAGTCAGCCAAAGATCGTAATGATACCAAGCAACCAGGTAGTTAATTGTAAGTAGAACGTTTCTAAGAAATATTTAGTTTCATATGTTTTTGTAAAGGAACAACACCACGTGATTGGCAGCCAGGACAAAAACCGACTGGAAATGACCCAAAATATGGAACAGGAGCATCAGATGAGCCGAATCCGAAAAAAACCACGTGATAATTGTTCGGTATAAATTTGTATTTGAACACAATTCATTTTTTTTTGTCACAGTTCTTTTCAAGAAAAACTCACTCGCTTTCATTTTTTTGTGGGATTTTTTATTTTTGAGTTGTATTATTTTCTGTACATATGAAAGATTTTTATTAGAGTATATTTTCATCAGAGAATTTTATAGTTCTTTTGATTAACTGTATTATTTATAAAAATTACGTCTGGATATATATCGTTTTATCTGTAAATAATAACAGAGCGAATCTTCGTTTACACTTATCGACACGTTCAGTTTTAAACTGACATTCTAATACAGACGGTCAGTCTAATTGCTTTTTTTGTTTTCTGAACAAGCGAATTTACATCAGCCGCTATTTTTAACAAGTCATCCAAGCTTTCATTTACGGATATCGAAATTGAGTCTCAATCATCAATGGTTACTCTCTTACTAAGAAGTACAAAAACCGATCCTTTTAAAAAAGAGGTAAAAATACATCTATTTTCGACGTCTGGACGAATTTGTTCAGTTTCAGCGCTAATTCGTTTTCTCTTAACTAGGGAAGAGCGAGAAATGAAATGTAGATTCTTAAATGAGAACGTAAGTTCATGAGAAGTTAATTTCACATTCTTTGTCGTCAGGATAATCGAAAAGAGAAATCTTATTTGGAAAAATCATTCATTTTTCTCTCTATTATAAGTTTCTTTAATTTCGCTGACCCTCCACCTTCCTTTCGCCTACCGTTTGCAAGCTAACGACAATTTCTGAAAGTTTTAGTGACATACATGCCGTGACACAACATATATCAACTGCTACGGTATTAATGACCGACCACTATATTATCTAACAATATTGAACATTCCTACTAAATCATTAACTAACAAGACAGATATTCATAACACCATCTGACTCTCATACAGTCAACTACGCTGCCCTACACGATCAAAACAGGGAACGTTCGATGTGATCCTTTTTCTACGTGGCACTCACACTTTGTCCCTTCGAGATCATCCTCTGGCATTGTTCTGAGCTGCTCCGGGATTCGTCCCAAATTTCCGCTTTTATTGTAGTTGGTGAATAGTTGTCCCTTTCATCTATTATTTCTAATATCGTAATAGTTTGCAAGAATATTTTTGGATATAATTACATTAGTTCAACTAAGATGCAATACCATTTTTATGATGTGCGTCACATTGAATTATTTTGCCGGCAAAAGCGCTTGAGTTTGCGTATAACGTCTGTTTTGCCTGTTCCACTATATGCTAATTGACTGGTATTTCGTCAAATGATCCAGTACAAGAAAGTAGGATTCAGTAAAATCAGTAGAACAAATCAATAAGAAAAATTGCAAATCATCTGAAACATCGAGCAAGTCTTTTAGCACGAAATAATCTCTTTATTTAGATTCCACTTCGTGATAATATCTATCTTCATTATACATTGCTTAAATGACTTTCCATGAGCTGCTCATTGACATGGAGAGACCAGGATCAAATCTTCATAGAAGAATATCGCACATGATGCTTTATATTGAACCAAACTTTCAAATTGCACAGACTTTACGAAACATAGGTTGTACAAAAAAACAAAAAATATAGGTGGCAACGGGTGAAAAATGAAGCTTCTACCTCGATATCTCAGTAATTTCTTGGCAATACTAAAACTGCTGCGTTTTTATATGAAAAGACAATATAGTAAAAACTTGTAGATGCAACTGTTCGGACCATTTCTAGAAAAGTCGACTTTGACGCTTTCCAGTGTTAATGTTGGTGACTAATATAAGAAAAACTTTGATATTTTGTAATAAAAAATAATAGTTCAGTCAAAAAAAAGTTATCCGAACAATTGTACTCAGGCATATTTTCTCTTTTAATATTGAATTTTCTATTTGAGTAATCAAGACATTGTTCGGTTTATTTTCACCCGAACATGTCACATCAAATTCCATGTGAGTGATGAACAGCCAACAGTGTTTACAAGTGAACAATGGCAGACCACCATAGCATTATTTTCATAAAAATTCAATCATTCAGGTTCATTCGCTACGTCATTAAAAGTGGCTGTTGAAGCGAGTAGAGAATTAGATAAATATTTTGAAAATTTATGTGCATTCATGCAGAAGTGTGGAGTAGAAGAGAAAAGTTCCATTTTTAGTAAGAAAGAATTACGCAATATCCATGCAATACTAACAACAAGCCACGAAAGCACGTTACTCACATACGTTGCTCAGAAATAAAACATATAAATGATGTGTAACTAGAAGAAAAAAAAACTCGTGTAGCTAGTTTAAACTAGCTGGGATGGACCAAATAGCTTAAGCTAGCTACATGATTTTTTTTCTACCAGGATTTCTTCATTCTAATGAGTTAGCAGTGCATGAGAAACGATACTGGAAAGGACTTCGCACGTCTTGTCCTCAAATCTGCCACCCCACAATTGTGGGGTGGCAGATTTGAGGACAAGACGTGCGGGATCCTTTGAAGCTAGGATATGCAGTAATAAAAAGATAAAGTCAGGAAAACATATTGTTGTTTAACAATTAGCAGCTTAAGAATGTTATTTATTCATAATTTTTTGTCTTAGTTTTGATTCATCGATCGCAAACCCAAATTAAAATACTTCTTATCTTGTATAACGTCAATGTCAACTGTTAGGTTTCATGAGAGTGATGAACAGCCAACAGTGTTTACAAGTGAACAATGGCAGGCCATCAAAGCATTATTTTCATCAAAATTCGATCGTCCAGGTTCATCAGGTAATTTCGCAACATCATTAACAGTGGCTGTTGAAGCAATTAGAGAATTCGACAAATATTTTGAAAGTTTGTCGCCATCATTAACTGGTAAAGACAAAGAAGCATTGTTCAGTATCAAAACAGGTTTTGCGGAGACTCGGCATCAGATATATCAATGTGCTGCTGCAATGGAAGTACGATACAGAAAATTTAAGTTAAAAATGCCTATAGAATTGATTAAACATTTGCAAACTAAAGAAGATGAAATTAGTTTTAAACAATTAAATATACAAGCACAAAAATTACAAGCAGAACTTACTTTGTTCCATACAACATATTTATTGACCATGATTAAAAATGTCAGTATTATTTTCGCAGCTATTGGCCTTGGACTTTGTATTATTGGTCGAACATTTAGTTCATTACTACCATCTGACGAAACGTGGGGTACGTTATTTTTTATTCTTGGTATTCCGACATTGTTAGCCGGAATTATTGGATTTATTATTGTCAAAGTTCAAGAATATGGTCGCAATCCGTCAACAACCGTAAGATATTTAGAAGAATTACAGTCACAAATGGATAAGCTTCGTTTTCAGTTCGACGATTTAAAAGCTCAAATTGTTGAAGACACTCCACATGAAATTATGCAAGGAGAGCTTGATGTTATTATTGATGGAATCAAAGAACTGAAATTATTATGTTTTCCGTAAATTCGTTCATATGTCTGCAAAAAAAACAACACAGGTTATACGTGGGTATTTGTTAAAACGTTTTTTTGTATATTACAAATTAAAGATTACACCGAAAAGGCTCAATTTTTAACTTTAAAGTCAAGAAATAATGTCATATCTTAATATTAGTTCAACAGCAATCACTATTGTACAGACAGTGGTCTTCACAAAAGATTTTAACCAATGTGACGAAGATTGGGTCTGGTCTAGGTCTGTGACAGTTCAACATTCATTGAACTGTAGTTCCTCGATAATGATAACTACTTTTCAGTCCTCATTTATTGAATGGAAACTGGAAAACAATTTCCGCTTCTAAACTAGCTACGATCCAACAGTTCACGCTCATAGGAATGAGAAATGGCTCACCAGTTTTAGTTCCTTCGAAGGGGAACTCCAGTTATTTTTGAACGAGAACTGTCGATGCTCTCCTTCTTAATGTACTGTTAGTTAAAACACTTGGTAAAAAGTTGATAATTTTTGTATAATCGAATCTCGACGTGATTAATCCCTGCAGATGAAGTTTTTTTAACAGAAATAGATTTCTGAGACGGGAGCTTGAATTCGCTATAGAAACGCTTGGTTACAAAGTCTTTGTCGTAGAAGTCTGCTGAAAAAAATTTCCTTCTTATTACAGTTTGTAAAACACTCCTCGAATTCATTTGTCGTAAAAGCTTGTGACTTTTACATTTGTTTTTTAAATTCACAGTAGTTTTAACTCATGTCGTCTATCTCTCAAGAAAATCGATGATTAGCCACGGTTTTTATGCTGTGTTGCTATGGCTTCAGCTGAAATAACCGCGATTAAACGTCGATTTTCTCGAGAAACAGACGACATGGGAACTCTTATAATTATTATTAATAAGCGATTTGAGCAACATTTCATTTTTTAGGAAACCGTTCTATCTAAAACTCAACTGACTCTACACAAAAATGAAATTTAGTATCAAGCAAATATTTTTGATTTTTCGACTACCCTAGTGAAAGTACTCATACGATGAGTACGACTTTACTCATAATTCGTCCACGAGTACTCATATTAGTACTACAAACAATTTTTGATTATTGTTACTCAGTGAGTACTCAGAAAATAGTCATTCACCGTTTTATTTTGCTAGACTGAAACTGTATAGAGAACGTAGAATTGAGTGAAGAAACATAGAATATTTATATTATTATTTCCTCACTGGTCTCTCTGTATACAGAGATGGGCGAGTACGAGTATATACTCGTATTCAAGTATACTCGAGTACAAAATCTTCAGTACTCGTACTCGGGAGTTTTATTTACGAGTACTTAAAAATATACTCGAGTATTTTCGGGTACTTGAAATTTTTTCACTAGTATGCTGTACAAAGAATTTTTGGCCTTGCGAATTTTGTATCTTCTTCAGATCAAAAATTTAAGACAAATGACTTAACATACAATAACCTATAATTAAAATAAGAACAAAACAGACTATTTTCTTCTTCTTTTCTTTCTTAGTCATTCTTGATAGTGATACGGAAAAGGCTTAAATCCTTATGTAGCTATAGCTATTACCGCCTTGTTTTCCATATCACTAAGAAAGAAAAGAAGAGGAAAATAGTCTGTTTTGTTCTTATTTTAATTATAGGTTATTGTATGTTAAGTCATTTGTCTTAAATTTAATGTCAGAAGAAGTATCTCAACGAGAGCTTATTTCGTATTGCGGTAATTGAAATTATTGATCTATTAATCTTATCTATGGCTACTACTACTGCTCTGATAACCGCTAGCAGCGAGAAACTTCCTCTTGTTATTGATAAGTTTTACACTAATATTAAAAAAATACTATGAGTAATAAATGGTGTGCTAAATGTACAGTATGTTCAATAGTGATAAAAGATACGACCAAGACAACGTCAAATTTTGTTAAACATCTGCAGACAAAACATTCTAAACAGTATGATGAATGGAAACAATTAAAAACAAAGGAAAATCCTGTTTCTCAACAAAGATCAATCACCGACAGATTTGGAGAGCCGAAAAGAAGAAAAACATATCCTTCATCTCATTCTCGTCAAAAAGAACTATCAATGGGAATCGTGAAACATTTAATTGCTGAAATGGGATTGCCATTGTCATTAGTAGAACGGAATTCATTTAAAATGTTTATGAAATTGGTTGATAATAAGTATAAATGTATTAGTCGACGACATATAACACGATCAATGTTACCAGGTAAGAAGATTATTATTACAGAAACTTTCTATGGGCCGTGGAAAAACAGACCTCTGAACAGATAATGAGGTTAAAACTAACTCAACCTCACTACTGATTTTGTTTTCTTTTTTATAGGAATGAATCAAAAAATTATTAAAAAATTGAAAAGTATATGTGCTGATGCAAAAAGTGTTAGTTTGACTCTGGATCAGGGTGGCCAGATGAAAAAATTCAAAATCAGAAAAAAAAATTGGAAAATCAGAAAATTTCCCTATCAAAATCAGAAAAAAATCAGAAAGTGGATTTAATGCGGCAACTAGACAAACATGTTTCGTTCAATATATAATTTATCAATCCTTTTATTGAATTGTATTATCGTTTTATGTAGATAGATATCATGTGGATAATATCGTATCAATAGTAATAATTCGGGCATTCATTTCACCACGCATACAATTATTAATAATGAATTAAAATGTTATTTATTGTCATTTGAACGTTTAAAAGGAAAACATACTGCAATCAATATATTAAATGAACTTAATAAAGTGATAAAATTCGGTTTAAATAATTCGAAAACAGCGACTACTGCGTTAGCAAAAGTAGCGACAATTGCCAAGTTTAGTCATAAGAGTTCAATATTTGCTGATCGTTTGGAAAATATTAAATTGTCTATACCCACAGCAAATGAAACAAGATAGAATTCACAATTTTACACATTGAAAGATGTTTACAATATCCCTCATAGTGAATTAAATATGATTTGAGTGTGAGTATTCACTTATGATATCATTGCCTAACGTAAAGAAATTTCTGTGTAGTCTATTGTCTATATAATCCCTAGTGAATGTACTGAGCTAAGGGTACCTGAAAAAGTACCCTGCTACCAGTATGTCACAGGAACTTTCGGGTACTGAAGTACCTTAAAGTACTTTTAGGTACGTATAAGGTACTCGGGCGGGTA